TGTGAAACAGCTAAGTCTTTGTCAACCCAGGCAGGGGCTGGAAAGACTTCTCTTTCATGAATATGTATCACCACCCTCCACGTCTACAGCAAAAAACACAAACTCCTTCCAAACAGAAAAATAATAACAATTAAAAATAAAAAAACAAACCCAAAACTTAGCCGCCACCATAAGAAATAAATCCCAGAACAACAAAACCCCGAAAGAAAAAAAAAAACCTACTAAGCAATGAAAGCGCACGTTTTGGAAGTGGAGCCAGAAGGATCTTCCTCCCAGATGCTTTCTGTGCACTTTTATTCCCCAGCAGAGCGGGATGAGGCACTTCACGTGCACAAAAGCGAAAGGGCCCATCGGGGTATTTAATGGCCATCGCTGGAGTTTATATTTTGCATTTCTGAACGCGCTGCCCGAGCACCAAACCCCAGGCCACGAACGCGCACGGCTGGGCTGGTGTGCCACGAATTGCTGCTCGCTTGGGCAAGGAGGAAAGCACCTGGAGCGGGTCAAAACGCTCCCAGGGGGAAAAGGTTTCAAGGTCCAGGCACTGAGGCAGCTCCAGTTCAGGGTCACAAATTTCCTGTGAAGCTTAAAATGCTCCACAACGTCTCGAGACAGACAGTTGGAATCACGGGTCACCTTGAACTTTTGGGGGCTTTTTATACATCTATACAATATTAAACCCCAAGCATTCCAAAGACAGGCGTAAAACTGAAACAAGAGAGCCCAATGAAGCCCGATGGACTGCCAGTGGAGGTGGATGTACAAGACAGAAAGTGCCTTAAAAAGGTGAAATGGCTCAGAAATGCATGCCAGAAACACTGTGTCTGCAGGACTGATGCTGAAAGTCTTGCAAGCCCAAAAATGGTGTTTAAAGCCATGGAGGGGCAGCTGGATAAAGAAGGCAGGATCAAACCAAACCTCTGCCTGTTGCAGCAAACCCAAATGAAGATACTTGAAGATGTGGTGGGTTTTGTCTCTCTTGGAGAGCTACGACATCATTAAAGCACTCAGCAGCGTTTGAAAAGTTACCTTCAGATGTTTGTTCTTATCTTTCTAATTTTGCTAGCAAAACTGCAAACTGGATCTTAATTTGTTATTAGAGAGCTTGTGGGGATACTACACACTTGATTTTTTTCTTGAAACAACAAATCAAATGAAAGCTTGCCTTCCAGCAGAGATATCAAGACACAATGCTCAGTTTTGAGCTTTCCAATATTATGCAATGTTTGCTGTAGACATTTCCATTTCATTAGCATATTCTGCTTTCCATGAGACCCAGCAATGAATGCTGTCCCTGATCTAAGGCTAATCCTCTTTAAAGAGCTACAGGCTATATTACATGTGGCCACAGCCACGGTGATGCCCGGGCTGAATCACTTTGAAGCCTATTGAACAGTGTTCCCTTGTGAGACCGTACACAGAGCCATAAACCGATGCTCCCTGTGCTGTGAAATCCCGCTGTTTCCACCACCAGGAGTTTCTGTGAGGGACAGACTGGAGTCCCAGGCAAGGGGCTGCAAAGAGGGAAGAGAAACCCGCTGCCTTCACCTCCTCTCAACGCCAATTCGTGTGGCTACAGTGATAAAAAGTCCTTTTTTAATAAACCTCATCAGACAGCAAATGCGCCGAGGGAGGGTTTCCAGAACAATCAAAGGTAAAGATGAGCCAGGCACCTGCTTCCCTGAGTAGGAAGGAAGCACTCAAGTTGTTTGGGACAAAATCATACCTATCTTTAAAGAAAAAAGAAACAAAGGGTCATGTAGGTACCTCCAAGGCTGACTCCATGCCCCTAAATGCTAGAAACTGAGCTACTGGAACAGAGCTTTTAGTGCCACACAATGCGGAATCTTTAGCACCTTCACATCCACATAATCCAAAGGGAAAAAAACAAACAAACAAACAACAAAAAGCCAAATATATTCTCTGGTTCTGCTACATATCAGCAAAATACAGTTTATATACACTTTAACTCTTCAAAATAACTTTGTTTAATCAAGGGAGCTGGAAATGTTGGCTCAGTTCAGCCAGACATTATCTCTTCCTAGCTGGTGTCAAACCAGACAGGAAGGGCAGATTAAGTCCCCACGGTAAAATCTGGGTCCTGCTGAAGGCAATGTTTAACCTCCTTGCTTTCAAACTAGTTGCACAAATTACTTTTTTCCTTTTCAGCTCTTAATTTTCTGCATGAAGACAACCTTCTCTGGGAGACGTGATGCTCCAGCACATTTAACACTCCAAGCTTTGTTCCACCTTACGAAAAGGACAATAGGGAAGAGCTGACAATTTTTATTCTGTGTCAGGCCTTAATGATTAATTTTAGCAAGAAACAAGCACTGGCCTATGGCACTGAACCTCCCTTTTCCTTTTCCACATCTTGTGGAGCTGGAATTACTGGAGCTTCTCTCCCACCAAACTGCATGAATCTTCCAGCAAAGTCACAACCATCAATATGAAACGACTCCAATCACAACACCTCCACCTCTTTCCACGGTGTCCATGTGGTAAGAAGGGCAGTGGGGTGGACAAAAGGGAGAGAATCCAGACAGAGGGAGAAATGGTCCAGAGAAAAAATAAACAAAAGGTGCAAGGAGCAACGCTGGGGGGAGGAAAAACAATCAGGAGGATGGTAAGAGGGAAGAACAGCAGACAACAAGAGGGGCAGGAAGACGGAGGAGAAACTCAGATAGCAGACAGGCAAGAAGGAAGAGAAGGGAAGAAGGCAAAGGGGCTCCAAAGGAGGACCAAGGGCAGATTGTAATGTAAAAATAAAATAAGAACTTGGAGAGTGGCATAAGCAAAGCCAACCTGTAAGGAATAGTTCCCTTTGGTATTCAAAGTGAGCTTCCTCACCAGTTTATTCGGGTCAGGTGGCACGGGAAATGGAAAATTTTTCCCTAAGTAAAGAAGGAGCAAAGAAATAAATAGAGGGAACAGTGCTCTCTCTTCCCCCTTTGGAAGATCTCCTCTCTGCTTCATGGAGCAGAGCTGTTCTTGGCACTGGGATCTAAAAGTGCAGTGAACACACCTCCTCCTCCTCGTGCATCTCTCCTCCCTCCCACTGGGATCCAGTGGAATATACTGGGATATCTTTGGAACACACCTGTCCTTGAGAAGGGCCTATTTCTTTTCTGTTTGAACACCAGCCACTTGTTTGCTGCACAGTGACAATAACTCATTGCAGAACCTCATTACAATTCATTATGTACTCTGTTATGCCTTTCCCAAACTAACTCTTGGAAGGTACCACCATCACCATTAACTTACGAGCACCTCAACAGCTCTTGCAACACCACAACGAAATTTCTGACTTAAAACGGGAAAAAAAAAAAAAAAAAAAAAAAAAAAAAAAAAAAAAAAAAAAAAAAAAAAAAAAAAAAAAAAAAAAAAAAAAAAAAAAAAAAAAAAAAAAAAAAAAAAAAAAAAAAAAAAAAAAAAAAAAAAAAAAAAAAAAAAAAAAAAAAAAAAAAAAAAGGAAAGAAAAACTCCATAAACCAACAACAAATACTCAGAAAACCCCACAAACAAATGGCGGCTTCCCATGTGTGGTCACATACTGCCACCTGCTGTCACTGTGCCCTCAGTGCTGAGGTGGTTTGGAGTAATAAGAGGACTGTGAAGCGGAGAGGAAGAGAAGCAGGAGGGTACGGGTTGGTACTGCAACCCAACACGTGTTACAGGCGAGGCAGGGAATATTATTGTACCCCAGCATCGCCCGTGCACAAGCAAATACAAACCAACCTGGATTTTTTTGGGCTCTGAATCAACCAGCTCTCCCCAGCCTCCTCCTCTGGGTCTCTGTAGGTCCCTGAAGGACAATTTCAGGTCTCCCCTGTGCCACCCCAGGAGAGCAAGCCCTGGGACAGGGGAGGCACGATGGCATCGTGCCCAGGCCTAACGTGGCAGGGCGCCTGCCAGCAGGCATTTAATGCTGGGCAAAATCAGCAAACAGCCTTGAGAGACGTGCTTGGGAATATGGAGAGGGCTGGGGTGGGGGGCACAACTGCTCATCTCTTGCACCCTTCTCCAGCCTTCTGCTCAGCTCGCCGTGTCACATCTGCCACGTGCGTGACACGGAAACACCGAGCGCCTGGTTCGTGTCCCCCTGTGGCAAGAGCCAGCCCTGCAGAAAAGCAATATCTCTGCAGATTTCTGCACCGTTTCTGCCTTAAATATCACCGCAGCATTCCCAACCCGTGACCAGCCAGGCAAATCACTAGGAGAATATTTTTTCTATAGCTCTTCCGACCCACCAGGAACTTCCCAGAAAGTGAAAGAAACGTATTTCCCCTCACCGACCCCGGTTCTCTAAGTCAGTCATGACTGAAAGAAACGCAAGAATACTCTGTATTTTTTGTTTTCCAGATTCTGCCTATTCAGGCTCTGGAGTTACAGCAATCAGTTGCTAGAAAAATAAGGCAACAATTCAAAACCACCTCAGTCATTCAGCCCATGTATCACAAACACTTAATTAGTAGTTTCGCTTTTGACGAAGAAATTTCAGCTAACAAAGGAAGTTACTGTAACACAGAAATGAACTCAACTAAAGCACAGAAACATTTTAGCAGGAAGGTCACCCAAAAGCCCCAGAAGCACAGAGTGCCTGCATTTGTTTTTTTTTTTCTCATAAAGGGCAAACCCAGACTTGTTTTCCTGGAGCTGGTTAGAAACTTATGGAAGACAGAAGCAGTAAATCCAGATTCTGCCCTCCCTTGTACAAAATCACACAGAGTTATACTTAAAATAATAAGGAATATGCAGTTAACATGATGTTACAGAAAAAAAATATAAAAAAAAAGGAAAGGTACTCACATACCTCAATAAGTAAAAGTATCAAAACAATCCTGTCAGAAAAACTCTCTCCCGGCCTGGGAATCAGGCTGTTTCCGGAACCAAAGGGCTGAGAGGGCTTATAACCATTAACAGATGCAATAAATAGCAGGGTTGCACAATTCTGGCTCTTCCAGAAAGGAAAGCAAAGTGCCTTTTTGTTTTTGCGTGTGAGCACGCGGGCCCAGCCCTGCCTGGTGCAGAAAAGGGATTCTGCTAAGGGAGAAACTTGGAATAATCTGTTTCCCTTCTCTGCTTTTCAACACGACTTCTTGCAAAACAGAGTTTAATCCCTTTTTCTTTCTGATGCCAGGGGAGAAGAGCGCATGGAACACATGTATTAGCCTGCGCACAGATAAAAGCTGCATTCCACAGGAGCTACAGAGGAGCTTATCAACCCACGAGTCATTTACCTGTTTGCTGAATATACAGAAAGAACCCACAAGTGAAAAATAGTTTATACGAACCAACACAGGATCTCACCACCCCTGCCAAAGAAAGCAAACCTTCAGTATTTATCGAGGCACAGCCTTGCCAGTCCCAACGCTGTACAGGCATGGGGAAGGGAGGACACTGAATATTTGGGATATCTGGGTTGAAAAGCAGCGGGTTTTTCCTCCCCTCTGCCTCTTGGTCTGCGCTGGGCAGTAATCTTGGTTATTAAGAAAAACTAAGCAACTGGATGAGGAAAAACTGCTCGTTTGTTTCGCTTTTTTTTTCTACCAGACGGCACAGCTGCCTCAGGATTTGTAAAGAAAAAAAAAAAAAAAAAAAAGGGGAAGTTTTTAGATCAGTGGCCAGGGAAAGATTAGGTTATTTCCCAGAGGCAGTGCAATAAAGCTGAACTGCGGTTGCCTAAAGCAAACAACCAAATATTTTTAAATAATCACTCAAGGGCATCATCAGGTCAACAGTTAAACTTGTGTTGTGACTCTTACTAGTGTATTTAATTCTCCGAAGTGTTCCTTTGGGGGTGAAAACTATTTTGCCCAACACCTGAGCCCGCGGACTCTGGATCTGCTCCCTGAGGTGGCCGCGGGCACGACACTTTGAGACGCCCGCGTGAAAAAAAACCCCGGGCGCAGCTGAAAATCCGAAATCCCTTGCTGTTGGTTCGCTATAGTAAATAATTTAACTTTTTTACCGTTGGGGGAGGGGGGGGGCGGTTTGTTTGTTTGTTTTTCTGAAAAAAATTAATCTCCGCTTCCGGCCCCGCCGTGCCCTCAGCGCCGCCCGCCTCGGCTCTCCCCGCCTCCCGCCTCAGCCCTTCCCGCCTCAGCCCTTCCCGCCGGCTCCGGGCGGAGATACCGGGCGTGAGGAGCCGCTGGAAGCCGGAGAGCCCCGCTCCTGGCAGGCGAGGAGGAGGGTGGAGGTGAGGGGAAAGGAGGGCAGGAAGGAAGGAGGCGGGATGGATCGGCGGTGTAGAACCAGGGTGTGTTGTCCAGGCGGTTCCGATGGAGGCGGCGTGCTCGGTCGGGAGGATGGCGGGCTGGGGAGGGGGGGCACCGAGCCCTGCTCCGGGGCGCTCGGATATTACGCAGTGTAATATCCCCTTTGTCCGGCTCCTGCCTCTGGAAACGGGGATAGTGACGCTTCGGCACCGGAGAGGATGAGGTGAGGTGAGATCACGGTTTGTTTGTCTCGAATGAAGGTGCAGAGAACAGCAGGGAGAGGAGCTGCGGGAGAGAAGCCTGGATTCGACCGGAGAAAGTTTCCTTCTGTCCGAAACACTCTCCAGTAAGTAAAACCTCCTTCAGCAATTACATGGTAGTATGTTAAATACGTTCAACCTCGATAAACCTTTGGGGCAGGATGGGGCAGCTGGGGTGGAGATGCCTGAGGTGATACACGAGGATAGATTAGATAGATTAGATAGATAGATTAGATAGATAGATAGATAGATAGATAGATAGATAGATAGATAGATAGATAGATAGATAGATAGCAAGCAGGGTCTGTGGGCGCTGCTGGAGCAACTGGTGGCTGTTCTGCCCTAATAAAGGTAGCCGCTTGTAAAATTCATTAACCACGTGAATAAAGCCAGTGTTTTGCATTGATCTTGATACACCGTTGTGTACGCTTCAGATCTCTCAAAATGTATCTTTCTATTTCTGTGTTTTGCCTGCTCCCGATGCATTTCAGAAACCAATTAACAAAGGTAATAACTGAAGCAGAATGTGCTTTTAAGTTGGTATCAAATTCAGCCCAAGTCTCGAGGCAGAAAACTGTCTCTGTGGGCTGATCTAAGAACTAAGTGAAAGGGCTTGGTGGTTTTCCCCTTTCAGCAAAAATGACCTCATATAATATCCCCTTATGGGTGCAAAACAGGAAAGGGCAGAACTAGACACAGACACAGTCCCTGCTGCTCACAGAGCTGCTTCCAGCATACCGGAGTTGAGGAATCTACCAGGAGGGAAGGATGGATGCTGGTGCCTCCGCAGCTCGTCTCACAGATGGCAAAGGAATAACCTGCCATCAGGGTGTCTGTCTCTGTATTCCTGCCAAAAGCACAGATGACATTTCCTAGTTTGTTTTAACGTGAGCTCTGCTTGAAATTTTCTGTTTCTCTCATCATCTGCACTGCTGTAGTCTACTTCAGTAAGTAAGGTGAGTTACTCTGAATGTCAGAACTGCTGCTGGTTTTCTGTTAAAGTTGTAAGAAGGAAGTGGTTTTGAGCTTTCACACAGAAAATGATGCACTGACACACCACCATTCACTGTGCTTGGTGTTTATGTACAGTGGCGTAAATGAGCCTTAAAAAACACAGGTCATCTCCATCATCCCGAAACACAATCATCATTTAATTGCAGTGGTGAATCACCTACTCATAAAAACCCCCAGATTAAATTGTAAGCACTGAGAGAGCTCAAGATCTTTCTAAGACACATGGGGAACTCATTGCAATCCAGAAGGAGCAACATGACAAACATCTGCACTGTATGAAACCAGTTAAATGGCTGCTGACATGTCTCACTGGTGAGTAACTGGGAACTCATTCTCTGATTCCTGCTTAAAGTGCCAAGGCTTTTCTTTCCTTAGACTCGGTTTCAGTGCAGAAGGACACTGGCCTTGCATCTGTGGAGGAACAGATCACAGTGTTCCCTTAGGTGCCTCAGATTTTATTGGGATGCAACTGCAGTCACTGAGACTTGGAAACAGAATTTAATTCATGATCCAAGCATCTCTGTGCTGCACGTGAGATGCTTAAAAAACCACACACAGAACCAACCAAAGCCAAGAAAAGTTACTTCTTTTTAGTTCTGCATCAGGTAGCTGTGGTTTTCCAACAGGCAGTGGGGAAATACCTGGAGCTGGTGACAATTCCTCATTTAGGTCTTGAGAATACTACAGCTGTTCCATTCACTTTACATACTGTCAGAGCAGCCACTTCTAAACACTGTTCTGTTTCATGCAAGAGGTAAATTCTGGCCCAAGAGCCAAAGGAGTTGCTTTATACATATTTGAATTATTACTGCCTACAGACAGACTGGTTGTAAAAGTCATTTGATAACCTTCTAGTCACAGGACTACACCGAGAGCAGAGCGGACCTGCTCCGTTTTACTGCTCCTTTTTAAGTCCATAAAGTAAATCTCACTGCTAAGACATATTTCTTGCAAAGATAAAGCTACCTGTGAGATCCTCACGAAGAGCTTCTTGGCAGCAGTGGGTGTTTCTCAGAGCTCTGAACTCTCATTTCTTTGCTCCAGTGCTTGCATCACATTCCCTGTCAGCCAATTTGCTATCACTTCCATACAGTTGCTGCACCACAGCACATGAAGTGTTTTAATGCCACACTGAACCCAGTTTATTTCACTCCACAGTGATTTCATGCTGTGATTTTGCCTCTCTCTTGTTCTGAGGACTCTTCTCATCATGACCTCTTTTGAAGAGGCCGAGACAGAGGAAACAGTGACGTGCCTCCACATGACCTTTTACCATCCTTGCCAAGAGGAGAAGATGATGTTTCGCTGCCTGAACTTCTGTAAGCGAGAGCAGGTCAGGGCGGATGAAGTGGCCAAGTTTGGCCGCGACTCCAACATCTGCCATTACAACCTGATGGACACTCGTGTCTCTCGGATCCAGTTCGCCCTGCAGTTCTACAGAAAACTCCACAGTTCAGAATACTGCTTTGAGATAAAGAACTTGAGCAAGAGAACAAAACTGACTGTGAACCAAACAGAACTCGGTTACCTGAACAAAATCGACCTGCCCTGGAGGTGCATCATCTGTTTCGGGGACTACCAGATCTTGGCAGAGATCCAAGAAGGGGAGTCCGTGGATTATTTTGAGACTCACCTGCACTTGGCCGAAGCACCGATCCTACAGGAAAGATCCCTGCCATCCCTGCAGCCCGTACCCGAGAGTGGCATTTCTTCTTCCACTTTTCTTTGCCAAGACAAAAGCCCCACAGAGATGGATGAAAACGAGCCATGCTAGCAGGAGGATGGAGGCTGGAGCAGATTTTGCAGCCTGCACAACTTGTAACATGGAAGGGCTGTCACCTCAGTCCAGTATTCGTGTCACCCCTGCACATCAAGTCTTCTTACTTGGTGTTTTCAGCATATTCCAGAACATACTCTGTTGCACAGAGGAACAGATTCCTGGCACTGCCTTCCCGGGGAGCATTAAGTGCTCTCTGATCCCCAGTTTGCCTGTGGGAGACGGGGGCCACTCGAATCCGTGGCAGCAGGTTCCATTCCAGAACTGTGACCACGTGCCTTGAAGGGATGTTTTAACAGGCATTATTAACACAGAGCATGCACAGCAGGGTTTTGGTCCCAGCTAAGGAGGGGCATAATTTCTTTCTCATTGTGTTTGTTGTACTTTGTGCTTTGCTTTTGGCACGGGATTCCAAAGAGTATTTGCAAGTCTAGGTTGTAATTTCCCGAACTTTGCAACCTTGAAACACTTTTTTCAGCAGAGTCCTTTGGAGTTTATGTTTTTATTAACGTCACAGCAAGATTTTTTTTCTCTCTCTTGTTTTTTAAAATGAAATCAAATCTGTATTTTTTGCAAATTAACTGCTCTTGCTTGTGATGTAAACAAACATGCAGCATCAGAGATCACAGTACATAAAAATCCGGATAAATTTCTTAATAAAAAGTATTTGGTTTTCTAGTAAGGATTCGCTGTCTTCTACAACCACAATCTAAAAGGATTTATGGGGAGTAAAATTATTTCCAGATAGGAAATTTTCACTGGCACTGTTCTGGGCTTTCCAAAAGTGCCATTGCACCGTGGTGAGAGTTACTAGTTTCCTACCTCTACCACCTCCCACCCCAAATATTCTAAGTATTTTTCATATTGTTTCAGTGAAGTTTTGCTTTGTCAGGGGCTCGGCTTTTCATTGGCACTTCCCCCCCTGCCCCGCCCCATGTATTTTAGTTTGCTTGAAAGACACACTGGAAAGAATCAGATCATACATAGGAGTTACCCATCTTCTCATCCCTACACATTAGGATGCATTCCAGCATTAATCATTCCAAGAAAACCATAATTATAACTTGAGAGGAGGAACAGGTGAGATTAAGGCAACCAACCACAAGCGAGAAGAAGTCATGGGAGAGGCAATGAAACTCAAACACAGGCTTATGTAGGATTTACCTGTTCATCTCATCCTTGCCAAAAAAATACCTTGTTCCCATCTTTTCCACTCTTGGAACTAGGCTGTGTTCTTGCCTCACTTTTACAATCCTTCTTTTGTACTTATCCGGGCTTAAAAGACAGGTGGCTCATGGTGTCACTAAGGGGTGTTATCCCAATCCTGTTTACTGGCTCTGTCACACAGGACATCAACCATTAACTGCTTACCATTTGGGGGCTGGTACCTAAACAAGAAGTGACAACCCCAACCTGAAATTCTCCAGGCAATATGTGAACAGCAGCATCTACAAACAGCACTTAGCTGAGAAAAATCTTCTGTCTGGTTTGCAGGGCTCAGAGTGCTGAATCTCAGCAGATTTAGAGCCAGAGCAGAGCATTCCTCAGGCACATCTCCAGGAACCGAGAGAACACCTTGGGGATGGAAACAAAACCCCCAGCCATTTACTGGTTTCCAAGCAACAGTCATTTCTACAACTATATTTACTAGGCTAAGAAGTAACCATCTAAAACATGCACTAAAAATGAACCCTTATCACTGTGTTGATTTGACCAGCAGAGGTTAATTTACACAAGGAATGTGATTTTACCTTTGAAGTGTGAGGGTGCAGCTGCTCATTTCCAACAGGCTCCACACTCCAAAATTCCTCAGGTTCTCCATTATTGCCACTTGTTTAGTGTCCCTTTGTCCCTTCCAAAGCAGCAGGTCTCCAGAAGGGATGCTGTGGGATTCAGGAGCTAAGGACACAGCTAATCGTTTCCTAAAACCTTCCTTAGCGAGCTGAAGCACAGGTAGTTTTGGGTAATGTTTTAACAATTCATCTTCACACACTGCCTTTTTTTTTTTTTTTTTCCCCATTTTTGGCAGCCCAAAACCCAGCAACAGACAGCACACTGCCAAACATTAAGACCGAGTGAAAATTTTAATGATTTTAAATTTGTACAGCTACTCATTTTACAGTACTGATGAATCATTTTCCCTTGAGCAGTTCATAGAATCTCCCAGTTTAATATCCACAAACACTGAGCATCATTTCCAAAGTCACTCAGCACCAAAGGTGCACAGAGCTCTGAAAATGTTATTAACCCTGGCTGCAGGACATGCCCATCACAGAAAAAGCTGGAGTCAGCTTCCTTTTCCCCAAGTCACTGTTCATCCTAAGAGCAGGACCATCAGCTAATGGACTTCCTCAAGGCATGGCCGGGACAAGGCTCATGGTCACTGGCCAGGGAAAGGAGTGACCAGTGCAGGGGAGGTGACAGCCTCAGCAGGTTAAAAAAAAAAAAAAAAAAGTGTTATTTACACTTTGAGGAAGTTGCCTTCATTCCCAGCAGGAATATATTATACAAATAAACATCCAGGAGAAGTCACAAAGCAGTAGCTTAGGCCAAACCCAAAATATACAGTTGATGTATACAAACTTTTAAAGCTGGTCACAGGCTTTGCAAACGTAAATAATGACACTGAAATATTTTCAGAGGCATGGCTACAACTGAAATCAAGAGAATGGAATGTTACCAGCAGGATTTACCTGTTCTTTCATGTTCTTTGTATGTGTTTAATCCAAGTGTGCAGTAGTTCTGTTCCCTATCCACACTGGAATGTCCCAGATATTCTGTACAGTCTCAGATGATTTAAACCAGCAACACAACTTTCACCAACAAATTCAGTGATGATGATGATGATGATGAAGGTTTATTACTTCTCACAGCGTGTTCCTTCTGCTCCACAACGGTGAAGTTACACCCCCAATGCCCTTTTTTAATCCATGGAAAAACAAACCAGCTACACAAAATAACAGTAGAGTAGAATGGCTTTACTTTGAAACTCGAAACTTTGGGGAAAGCTTGAGATCTACAAGTGTTTGGCAGGTCATATTTTGTTTGTTTTTTTAAAAAAGTATAACTTACATGAAATATCAGGGGAGACCACACAGCACTTGACACCAGATGTGCAGTCACTGAAAGCTCCTTGAATTTCAGCCCATATTTGCAGGACTGACCATCCAGTTTAGAGGCACAGGAAAGGCAGAGCACTTATACACACTCTTAAAACATCAACTTTGTTTCTTTTCTTATTTTAAAATGCAGAGACACAGAAATTCAGTCTTTAGGTCCTCGTTCTTCTCATCCCTCCCCCAATTCGCTCCCAGAATGTTGATTCCAGTAATTGTTCCAGTCTGGTTGAATTACAAATTTTCCACAACTAAAGAATTTTAAGGACCCTGCAGCAACAGATGATGGTCTGCAGGGGAGGGGCAGGGAAATCAAGACTTTGGTCCTCCCAGTTCTCTATTAAGACACTGGTTAAAACTGCCAGTTTACTGACACATGAAGAACTTATGTTTTAATTTTATTTTCTTTTTTCTATCTAGCACACGCTTACTAAGTCTGGCATATTATACAAGACAACATCTCACCTACCCTGATGGTTTTGACTATGTTCATTGAGGTTAGCCGTGCTTAGCATAAAGTAATTTAAAAAAAAGAATAAAATAAATGGGAAAAGGACAACACAAGGCTAGGAAGACTTTTAAGCTTGACAGGGAAAAGTCTGCAAACTGCCACACGTCAGATTTGTTTTGCAGCTCTTGCTGCACCCTCTAAACAGCTGAAGAGCAAGTCAAAAAGCACAGACTGGAAATAAAAATTTTCTTTAAATTATTTCTCTATATTCAAGTATTACATAAATTATATAAGACTTTCTGACATAAATATTAGGCCAATGATGAATTTTAAAAACAAAATCAGTGTAAACACCGAGAGGGGGGAAAAAAAAAAAAAAAGGCAAGTTAAAATATAGATATGTCAAGCCATGAAGCTTCAATTAGTGCAGATAATTTTATATTAAATCCAGATACCCAGAAATATACACAACAGAATCATCCCAGTTTCCACAAAAGTTGAGAAGGTAGATGATAAAATTGCACTTAATTCTGAACTAATTCAGACAGCGAGTCATTCCCATTCCTTGCCGATCCACGTGTAAGAAAAAGGGAAGCGGGTTACAAAAGAGCAAAGTGGCTTTGTACATTCTCTTTCCCTCTCCGACGTTCGGTCACGAGCAGGGGCCGTGCAGCGTCCACTATCTGTCCTGGGGGTCGCAATCCGACAGCCTGACATCCGAAGCGGACAATTCCAGCACGGGATTGACGAAGCCGGCGTACTCGGAGTTGCCGTTGTCGTCCATCTCGGCGCTCACAAAGTCATTCTCCCACTCCAGGCCGTTGGAATCGTCGGAGGCGGAGGCCGGGTGGCTTCCCGTCTTCCTGCTGTGGAATTTCAGGGCTGCCCTGAGGATGTCTTCCTCTGTTTTGGAGCGTTCCCTCATCGGGATCATCCTGTTCATCCCTGGGATTGAAAGATGTGTTTGTGAGAAACATCATTTTGAGGGAAGGACATTTGCGTTCCCACGAGAGGAAACGCGGCTAAAATTTGGATTCCTCGGTCTAGGAAAGGTCTTCAGCTTGTCTGGAATTTATTTCAGATATATGTGTATTTAATTTCGTACAAAATAAGGCAAAACATTGCTCTGAGAACTGCCCAAAGACGTCCAAGATGCTGTTAATTCTGTCCACAATTACAGACTTCCTCATGGCCTATCAAAACCCTCCCAAACCTCTGCAAAGGAAAAAAAAAAAAGCACCATAAATCCTCCCCTTGTAGATTCCTAAATAACTCCCCTTTTAAATCTGGAGTAACTAATTATTATTAAAAAGTTACACATTGCAACTGAAACACACAACTTGGGGGGGGGGGGGGCACAGAAAAAAAAACATCCAAGAGATAAATTTTTCCCTTCATCAGACTCGAATTATAGATTTTATGTTCATGTTCCACGGGTCTTTCCAAGCAGCTAAATAATAGTATAACATACAGTGCTAAACATTTAACCTACACACAGACTGTCAAAAACAGTGTATTCAAGAAAAAAAAAATAGCTCTGCACTCTCTAAAAGAAATCCTTTTGCAGATTTCCTAAATAAAACAGAAAATATCTGTAGCAGCAGCAATGAGGACAGCTGGGATACTCACTGCAATCCAGATCCAAGTTCCCAGTAAAAGTTACAGTAATTAGGGGGTTTTTCCCCAAATAGTTCAGTCAAGACCCCTGACCAACTTGCACATTTCAAAAGGAAGAACAAGCCCTTCCTTCTGCTCGTGGCTCACGAGAGGGCAGCATTTCTCTGCCATTAGTTGTGCTGGGAGTTAACAAGTCACTTCCACAAAAATGCAGGGAAAGGCATTTACTGAAGGACCCAAATAAATTCATTCATTTATTTGGGCTAGGTCCACATTTACCAAAATAAGAATTCTCTCAGTAAAAATACTTTAATCACTACAGATTTGCCAGAAATTCCGCTAAGTTTTAAATCCCCTTCGGAAAATGACAGATTCCCAATCAACACAGTTTAAACTGTCAACATTTGTAACTTATAACTTCAGAAGGAGACCGAATTAATAAATACCTTCTTCATCTTCCCACTCCAAATCTAACGAGGTGCTGTCGTCGTTCCCACTCACTGATTTGGTTTTGGTCATCAGGTCACAGCTGCTCTCCGTGTTGGGTGTCAGCACTGTGGCATCAGATGAGAGCCCTACAGAAACCAAGTGAAATGGCTTTTTAATTCCTAATCATGCTTTAGTTTAGGAATTTAATAAGCTATAAGCTGGACTTGTAAAAAAAACCACCAAAAATAAACCCTCTCCCCCCAGGAAAACAAACTACTGGCAATATTTCCTCAAGAACTGCCATCAGTCCTCTTAGTGATCATTGTCCTGTCATCACAGTTTGTGGATAAAAGTTTATAAAATCCTTTTCCTCTAAATTCTTAGTGGAATTTTTCAATAGAGGCAGCCAAATTCCCTCTTGAGCTGCATTAGGGAAAAAAATATTAACTATTATAATTCTAATTGCTTTGCTAAGAGATAATTAAAAAAAAAAAAGCTATAGACACACATCTGCATCTTTATTAACACACGGTCAGGTTTGACAGGAAAAGTTCACCCCTCTCTTCTATCCATCAGATAAAAAGAGCTGTCAGATTTTTTAACACAGGTCTATGCATACACAATTCAGATATAAAAATAAAAACAAATTATGTTTATCTAGAAAAAGAAACAGCACTCCGTGCCCCTCAGAGTGTTTTAAGACAGGCATAAGGAAGGGAAGACTTACTGCTACTTCGAAAAGCTTCGTACTGGAATTTTGTGTTCCTTAAGAAAGGATCGAGATCCTCCTCTGCCACAGAGCTGTGGGAGCAATGCACAGTTTTTTAGCTTTCTAAACCTCTAAGGATGCCCTAAATAAAATGTTAATCCACGTGCCCCCTGGCTCTGTGCTACAAAGCACATACACCTTGAACTAAATTCTTTGTAAAATGATCTAGAAAAGTTCTTTCTGTTCCTGTTCATCACATCTTCTCCCGGTCTGTGCTTCTGCTCAATTTTCAGCAGTAGTTTTCAGCTAAAAATGAATTAACTTTCCTCTCAAAAACTCTTCTCCTCTCTTCATCACTGCAAATAAAATCTCCTTACTCTTCAATTAATTTTTTACCCAATGAATTCAAATCCTGCTACTGCAGTGCTTGTTTTTTAAAATGTGGCTAGTTCCTACTCGTACCATAAACCCTTTAGTTTTCACAGCTCCTTTTCTAACTGCACTTCCCCAAGTGAAAACCCTTCCAATCCCCCTTCTCTTCCATGCAAAAATAGGTGTTGGATTTTAACATTTTCCCCTAAACTCGAGCATCATTCCACAGGAAATTTTTCTGAGGTTTTTTTTTTTTTTTTGGTTTGGTTGGTTGTTTTTTCCCCCCTCTAACACCGAACACAGAAGGTGGCGGTGAAGAGAATTAAATTAATATTATTAAGGAAGAAACGGGCAGACTGTATAAACCATTCAATTAGCTTATTTCTACTGGGTATTTTAAGCAGGGTTCTCAATAATAAAAGAAAGTTATATTAGCTAAGATTTCTCATATAAACACCTTCTTAATATAAAGCACTAGATTTTGTGGGTATATATGCATCAATAGCTGGGAGCAGGTTCAAATTTTAGTAACTCCAGTGAAAACCAGAATGGATGCAAACTACCCTCTTAACTTTGCAGGTGAAGCACAGGAGCAGAAACAGTCAAGGTTCTCAGTTATCATGAATAAAATGTGATCTCTTACCTGGGAAACTCTCCATTATTTACAGCGTGTGCTCTCTGAGTTATCCTTTGCTGCCTATGTTGCTATCAAGAGAAGTACATTGTTGAAAAAGCTGAATGCGATCCCTCAGGAGCTACATATACTCAAAACAGAGCTCTCAAGAAACCTATTTTAAATGCATCCCCCAAAAAAACCCCCACCCCAAACATCAGTTTTCAGAACCACCTCAGTCATGAACTGCCACCTGTCATCTTTTTTTTAACTCTTGTCTTCTCATCATAAGCCACAGGTATTTTCAGCTCACAGCTGACACCTGGGAGGTGTTTGATTTGCACAAGCAACAGTCTCCCTACCTAAACTGAAGAGAAATATTCCCTCCAAATCCTCTTATCCCATTTCCTCAGCACTGAGTGCTTCATCCATATTAATAAGAGCTTTGCTGCCTTGCTGGGCAAAAAGGATTAATAACTCGACACTCTTAAGGCTTTCATGGCATCCACTGGGCAAAATCAGAGTGAAAAGTGCAAGACAAGCCATCAGTGCCTTTATTTTTTAATTATTAGAGGAACAACAGACATGGAAGTAGGGTTCTGATTAAGTTTGGGGGGGTTTAAACAGATGAAGTTGTCTCAAGTTTCTCTTTCCTGCCTTAAAAACATGGGAGCATAAAAAGCAGGCACAGGAGCTCCCCAAGGTTCAAGGTAAATCACTTAAGAAACAGTAATTGTTCAGTGATTATGACAAAGACTAAGATAAAACCGAATGTGCTAGTTTTAGAGACAGGTCTGATGTATCTAGTGACTGAAAATTCTACTCTCAGCCTTAATGGATCTGTCCCTGCCAAAGAAAAGCAGGGGTAAAGAAACCAGAATTTTTAATGTCAGCTTCATCCAAAAATTGCTCTTTGCTGGGTAAATAGTGTGGTGAGATAACTGCACTGGATATGGTATTTTTTCAATCCCAAGATGATGGTAGCTTTGGGTTTCGGCACACTTTCCATCTTGGATATTTAAATAATAATAAAAATTGCAGATTGAAACCGGTATGGAAATGATAAGCGTAGAAGTAGAAATATCGCATTCTGGTGGTTTTTAGGTGAGAAGACGTGGAGAAAGAGATAGAAATTTGGCACCATCAGAGCCAACAAGTCTGTCAAAGTCAATTACTGACACATGCAACAATTTTCCTTTAAGATTCGCGTAACATTCGATTGAACATAACATCCAATTTAAATTATCTCCCCATTTTGCCAGGTCACATGCCAATATCCAGCACTGTCAGTTCCAGGACACACATACATTAACATTCCCTGCTGTTACAAACCCTGACATTTAGCAGGGCACCATCAGCAAGCCAGCTGACTTTTAAAGGAGGCCACGCTTCCAAGGAAAAAGCCACTTTCCCATTTGTGCCCACAAACAGCAAAGAGATGAGTGATGCATTCCAAAATAGCTGCTGGTTTCTCTAGAAGGGCTGAGTGCTTGATGCCTCTCTCTACAAAAATGCTTCCTTAGAAATCCACATAATCCTCGTGGCTTTTGAGGGGTTGGTTTGTTCAGGAGATAAGTGGTACTAATTTTACACGAAGAGGAAATTAAAATCTCTCTAATCTGCTCTATCTGAGGGTCCTGACTAAAAGAAGTGCCTATTAAAAATAGTGAAAGACAAGAAAAGTAGCACTTCTTGCACAGAACTCCTACAAAAACCACTTAATGCCATTAAAAAAATCTACTTTTGCTGGCTTTATATAGACCAAAAGCATTACAAAAAAAAAAAAAAAAGTCAGGCAAAAAGGTCAGAAAGAAAGAATTAACCCTCCCACACCAAATGGCAAGAGGAGAGACAGAGAGATGTGAAATGGGAGCTATACTTAGTGACATGAATATTAGATGGAAACTCTAGAGCAGGGTTGACACAAACCACAGAGATAAGGAACAAACAGTTAAGTGCACAGATATATAAAGTACATTTTACAGGTCTAAATGATAGAATGTGCTCAACTTCAGGGAGTTTTTTTTTAACCAGAAAACCATCCAAGATCATCTCACATTTAAGATCAGTGACTTCTCCATATTATGTAAGGAGTGTGTTAAGATAATTATAGATTAAAATTGTAACCCATTCAAAATCTATACTCGGCGACAGAAGCTGTTTCAAACAATTATGGTGATTTTCAGCTGCTCCAACCAGCTGCACTTTCAAATCTTGCATTTCTCCCTCTGCTTTTAACAAGCCAAAGCCATTTCCTCGTTAGTTTTCCTGAGATGGGAAGGATATGAGGGAATACTGCATACATGGGAAGAGAACAGAGGCTCTGATATATATTGGGGTCTTTTTTTCCCCTCACCTCCAAGAGCTTTTTCTGCTTTGCTGCCCTGGCTGCTTCACGTTGTGCAGCATATAAAGCCTCCTCTTCTAGTCTTAACTTCTCCTCTTGTAAGGCTAACTGTGTATGAACAAAACAGTAATGGTTAACAAAAGCAGAACCTATCTATCTTCCTAGCAATAAAGCCAGAAGTGCAATAAAACAAAAGAAAAGCAGCTAGAAAGTAAAAATAAAACAAAACCGACTACAGCTAAAGCATTAAGTGAATTTAACAGCTTCCCCCCCCCAACCACCAAACATCCCAAGAAATTTAGGTTGAATAATCATTACTAGGGAATTGCTCTAAGTGCTTGTTGCATTTTATTATGAACTGCACACTCAAAGATTTAAATCTTTTCACTTCCATAATTCGTTGGCATCGGATTAAAAACCATTCAAGTTCTACATTATATCCCACGTCATATCCCATTCATTGGTGCAATACTTAAATAAAACAACAAATTATGTGTTGGGTTTTTTTTTTTCCCTCAAGAAAAGTTGTGGGAAAAACTGAGCCAGAGAAAAGTTGAATCAAGAATATCCCCCATTAAAAAAAAAAAAAAAAATAAAAGGTCAAATTTAACAGATCCTGGTCAGAGACCCAGCCTATTCATTCCATTTTTCAGCTAAGAGGGTATCAAAGAGAAGCCATCTGTGTTTATGGACACTAACAAATAGCAACTGCTGAACAAAATCCAGTTGTTTCCAGGACTCCCCTGGTGTTCATGGCTGGTTTTAACTTTTTTAAAAGGAAACCCATCCCTCCTGGACTAGTCATTGTAACCACTGACCTCTGACTGAAGTTTCAGATCAACAACTCTCTGCTTTTCAGCAATGGAGTCGTAGTGTCTCTCTTTCAAGTCAGCAATCTCTTCCTCTGTCAGAGGTCTAAAAGCAGGGGAAAAACACAGAAAGGCTCCATCTATAATTCATGCATGACAAGCCTAATTTGCTCTTTAACATATCCGTGTGGTCTTTCCTGACTGGCCTTTTAATGCAGATCCAACAGGCTGTTCCTGCAGAGAACAGAGTTCCAAAGTTCCAGTTTACTCAGGACAGTGCCCTCTCTCCTTATTATTACAACATATATTATTTATATCTTTATGGAAAGCATATTTTCAAATCCTTTGCTAGGTACTGGAACAGAACAAATTACCATCACTGCAGTATAAATCTCACTTTTTTTCTTACTTGTTTTCATCCCTTGTTTGTCCCTTGCTTCATTTTGTTTATGACAGAGGGGGAGCAGAGGGAAGGGGAGGTCCTGAACCTCCAGGTCTTACCTGTGACTGCTTCCTGGGCTTTCTCCCTGTTAAAATTAGAAAAAGAAAACAATGTGAAATCACAGTTTCTGCCATATATTGATTTTACAATTGGGGGTGTGTGTGCAGTTTTAATTTAGAATTAAAAATAATCTCATTATGCAGTCAACTGAAGGGGCTGACTAAGTGAAACAAGTCAGTACCTCCAACTGAAAAGAAATACTCTGGTGGTGTATTTCAGGAACCAAACTATTGGTCCTCGTGGTTTTAAATACATTGAATACCAGGAGCAAATTTTGCTTTAAGTCTTCCCAAACACACTTTTCCTCCCCCTCCTCTTCTTTTTGCCTTCCCAAAGTCCATAGCACTCTCTTCCTGGAAGAGTTACTTTCCATACTCCCCCCCCCGCAAAAAAAATCTCTTCTCTTAGATCTTCATCCAAACTGTTAAACACTCATTCCTAGAGCAAGGAAAACTTGAAGTATAAAACTCCCTGTGATATAAGTCAAGGACGCAGTGGGAGGAAGAGTCACATCTTGGAACCACTTTTAAAGATTCTATGAGGTTTAAGGATTATATGAGGCTTCCCATGATTCTCCAGGTACCCACCTCATCGCTTTCCACCAGGTTCTCAAACTGCAGAGAAAAAAGAAAGTAAATAATCTTTACAATTCAATATAAGAAGTCTCTAAAGGCATACAGCAAATATGATTACACACTTCCCTGCAATCAAGAACTAAATATTCTGCACTTAGACAAGCAGGGAAATCACTCCCAACACGGCAGAGATGACAGATGCAACAGGCAGACTGTGGAATGCTCTGGTGATGAGTATCACATCATAACAGATCCTTCTCTTCTTTCCAAATAATAAATGCAAGAGAGATGATGTGTTAATGTTCTGAGGTGCTGTAGGAAATACTGTATTTCACCCAGGGCAGCATCAATGTGGTCTGGAATAACCCAGAATATTTCGGTGTTCATAAGCTGCAAAAAGTGTTCAAAGGCATTGCTGGGATTCAGTTTTTCCCACTTGGATCACTATAAATTGTAAGCACTCACCTCTATAGTGAAGTGTTCTCCTGTTGAACATGTTCTAAAATACTTGGATCTGGAAAAATAAGTTGGCAGTTACACTAGAGAAGAGTCTTCAATACACAGCAGAAGGAAAATGAGCCCGAGAATTTAAAACATGCTTTAAAAATATGCTAAGTACAAAATAATCATAAAATCTCCAAGTATTTAACAAATTGACTTGTTAACCTGAGCTCTGCTTGGCTACCACAGTGGAAAGAGGCTAAAGCATGTAAACATTTTCTGTAGAACTGGAGAAAAGACTAAAACCCTCACGGGATGAAATCATTTATCAGGATGCTGGACTTGACATTTACAGACTGTCAGCGCGTTCTGCAATCCCTTGAATACATTATTTTTTTTTTCCTCGAAAAACACGATTCCAGGCAATTTCTGAAACCGCTGCTGCTCATCATGGCACTTAACTCCTTCCAGGCACCCTGTACAACATCAGTGCTCAGCAACACGTTTTATTTTGAAACCTTGGCACAGCTACAAGGTTGAACCTCAGAAAAATGCCTACGAAGAGGTTAAGAGAAAACTTTGCAACTACAAAAAAAAACACAACAAAACAAAACACACTCACTGTCTGATTTTATACAGGGAATCATCTCCTCCTTGATTCTTTAATCAGAGTTCTCCCTATTTGAATTCTTTTATAGAGGACAGTTAACACTGTCCTCTACAAAACCCAACCCAGTATCAAGTCACCTGAATACATTTTCACCCAGCCAGAGAGGTCTGGCCATCATCCAGAAGAACACTCAAAAGTAAACACACTTCAGTCCAACATCCATTCCATCGAACTGTTTGGAAAACCAGGGTTTCCAGTTGCAAGTGCTGACCGGTACTAGGAATAAACCCGGGGCCTCAGGGATTTCTACGCTCCCACAAAAGATTGTTCAGTGCTTGCAACCAACACAATAACGAAAGCAACACACCAGCCAAAGCCTGCATTATTTTAATCATATCCTATTTCATCTCCATCTCATTTTAATTTGGGAGTCAGTTTAGGGAACGTCTCCCCTGGCAACTTGTTGCACAACCCACTTGCTCCTTGTTGCACAACCTTTCCTGCCACTAAGGAACCGTTTCCAGTGGATTCCCTGCTCTGAAACCAGGGGGGAAAGGCCACCTGAATTCATGCACTGCATGGCAAGTGTAATTGGGACACGTGGCATGAACACTTAAAACAATTTCACTGCTGCCCTTGTGTGTGTTTCAATGTGCAGGAGCCAATACCATTAAGAATCTCACTTCATAACACCGGCCCAGGAAATTGTTCCAGGACTATCTGTGTTGTTAACACAAGTGTAATTCCAGTTTACAGCACCAGGCTTTAGGTAAATTATTGCCAACCTCACAACCCCACGAGCTTCAATCTTCAAAGATCTAGTTATTAGACAGACTAACTTTTCAGCACTCCATACATATATATATATATATATATATATATATATATATATTTTAAGTACAGTTCCAAGCAAGGCAATTTATAATCTTGCAGTTTATCAAAGCACTTGTTAAAAACTCTATACTTAATTATTTAATTGGGAGTTTATTTCTTGCAGTCAAATCTTGGAACATCTAAAAATAATGAAGTTGGGAGGAGGGGGGGGAGGGCTCTGAGTGATTAAAATAATCCTGAAGTTGATAAGTTGCATTATTACATTATGCTGTTCCAGAAGGAGTCAAATGTGCATAATTTGGTAGCAATGGAATTTGCAGACTTGAAGTACTGGCCTGTGAGTGGAGAACTGTGCAAAAAAAACCACATGTGGAGGAACAACCTTTCAAGCATTATCTGTTTTTTTTTCAGAGCACAAGAAAATGCTGCCTGCTGTCAAGGCATTTCAGATGTTCTCCTGCCCTCTGCTAGGGTACTAAAAATACAAGCAGGTATCCTCTACACACACTGCCCTGGTTTTTCACCCAATTCTCTGAGAGGCAGCTTGTCTTGAAGCCCTTTTAGGAGAAGGTGAGACTCGCCTGCCAGCGCTCATGTGAAATAAGAGGCCAGGGGGTTGCAGCATGTAAAATGCTCAGCGTGTCTGTCTACGACTACTTCTATCCTAACACGTCAAAAATAAGCAATATGTAGGTATCAAATACTGATCGTTATATGGAAAAAAAAACCACCAAGTCTTTTTACAGGTAGGTTTTCCTTCCCGATTGCACACTTCTTTTCCATGAACTGGTTGTAGCAGAATGAAACTGGGGTTACACATTTACAGGAGATAGGAATAGATATGAGTTCATTGGAACCATTCTGCAAGAGAGATGAGTTCATCTGAACCTTTCTCCTCCCGATTTACCCCAACAGCGTCTCGGCCTCTGGCTCACAGAGAAGACGAGCTCCCGTTGCAGAAAACCGGGTGTTTTTCCACCCAAAACACGGCCGCCTGCACAGGGTTTGGCACCTGACCTGAAAAACCTTCCTAAGCGTCTCCTGCCGGAAAAACAACACTGCTGGAACGGGTAAGGAGCCGGTTACCCTGGAAGTGCATTATCCCCGACCGCACAAACCGCACGGAGCCCGGCGGGCTCCCGGCGACTCCATCCGCCTCCATCCCCCCCGGAATGCCGCGGCTCCCGGCGGGAAGGGGCGAGGGGCTGCGGGGCGCGCCCAGACCCCGCATGGCATCGCATCGCATGGCATCGCCCCCGCAGGCCTGTCACCCCCCTGCTGCCCCTCGGGGGCCCCGGGAAGGCGGGGCCGGGCGGTGCCGGCACCTCCCCGCCCCGGGGAGGGGAAAGGGGCAGCCGCGGTCCCCCGCTCACCCTCCGCCGCGCTGGAGCCGGCCCGCGTCCCTCCGGAAGAACAGCCCGCAGCACCACTGCGCCCAGCAGTTCCCCATCGCATCCTGCTGGGAACAGCGCCGCCTCCTCCTCCTCCTCCTCCTCCTCTTCCCTTCCCGCCGGGCTCAGGCCGCCCCGGCCATCGGGATGGGCGGCCGCGGACCCCCGGGAACAAAGGGCCGGCACAGCCTCATGGCTGCGCAGGGGCGGGAGATGCTCGCCCCGACCGCCGGCACCGCCCCCGGCTCCGGCATCGGCATCGGCGTCGGCATCAGCCCGCCCCTCCCCGGGACCGCCCCAAAGCCGGCTTTCCCCGGGCTCCTCGGAGCTGGGGAGGGCTCACCATTAGCCTGTGTTTGAAAAAGAAAAAAAAAAAAAAAAGTCACACGGTTCCCATGGTCAGGGTGAGAAAGCATGGCCACGCTTTGGAGAGGAGGAATCCAGTTCAAGGTCCCTGTTGTCATGAGAGAAAAAAGGGTTTCTCCCCAGTTAATCAAGCCTGGACTCAGTGCCACTGAGGTGCCACTCAGTGCCAAAAATACCTGGAACACTGTAAGGTTTAGCGAGGTATCTCACCCATCATTCGGGCTCTCTGGCTTTAAATCATAGCACCACACTGACACATAGAATCACAGAATCCTGGAATGGTTTGGGTTGGAAGGGACCTTAAAAGCTCATCCAGTTCCTCCTCCCTGACACCTTCCACTCTCCCAGGTTGCTCCAAGCCCTGTCCAACCTGGCCTTGAACACTTCCAGGGATGGGGCAGCCACATCTGGGCTTCTCTGGGCAACCTGTGCCAGGGCCTCCCCACCCTCACAGGGAAGAATTTCTTTCCTAATATCCAATTTAACACTGCTCTCTTTCAGTTTGAATCCAGTCTCCTTTGTCCATGATAAGTTAATGGTGACATTGTATACCTGTGGTTTGTTCCTTTCATTTAATGGATCCAAAGGTATCTCAGGAGTGGAGGAGTTAATTGAATTCCAAGTCAGCTCTCCATTAGCAGCATGGGACAGATGCCAGGACCCAGAGAAGGCACTTGCTACTGATGAGCAGGAGAAGGTAGGAGGAATATAATAAATCAATGCCAACTGAGCGGTGATATTTTGTTTTCTCCCCCCTGGAAATGTGAGGTCAGCCTGGAAAGGTGCATTACAGTAATTGCATGCAGGGAGTGAGGATGAGGGTGAATGAGACATGAAAACAACCAGGAATCAGTTGCAGAAGGTGACTCATATCGACATGACTCAATAGAAGTGCTGTAGTCGTTCCAGAAAGTATCACTGGGGTGTATGGTGCCTCCATTTTCCAGGGAATTGGCATTTTTGGCAAGGCATATACTGCTCCTCTCCCAAAGAGGGATATTGCAGTAGTTCCAGCCTGACCGGTGCCCCTAAATTTCTTCAGAGAAATTGGACACCTCTTTTTCTGCAGCACTCTCAGCTGTGGAATGGAGGTCACCAAACCGAGGGGAGAAGAATATCGGGAATATCCACGTGGAACATCTTTGTTTCTGCAGCTTCTGGTTGTGTTTTCCCGCACGTGTCCTGCCGTGCCACCTCTGTCCAGGGCAAGACAAAGTCACTGTGAGCAGAAGACCATCATGTGCTGCTACATCCATGGCTGGATGGAAAGAACAAGAGGAAGTTGGATTAAGAATATATTGGATGAAGTCTCCACCAGTAAAAACACACACGGATGCTGCAGCTTTCCTCCCCCCTGAAGGGTTCGTGCAGGTGGTTTGTGCAGAAACTGCCACCTTTTCAAGATAAAATGCTCAGCAAGGACACTGGCCCAGACATCTCCATCTAAAAGCAAATTATTCCGCCTTTTCCATGGCCGCATCCTTGGCAACATCAGCAGCCTCCCAGCAGCACGCAGGGAATAGTCAGTATTTTTCAGGCTGCCTCTTAGCACAGCGCTCTGCTCAAAAGCGCGAGGTTGCTTAACCATTCCTCCTTTACGTGCCTTACTGGCTTTGCGCAAACAAGCTTTATAGCGTTTTACATTTATAACGTTTTATAAGGCCTTTGTTTGTTTGTTTTTTACTCTTTATAAGCCAAGCAGGTTTCCGCGCAGGCTTTTGCGACAGGCGCGGCGCGGCTGCGCTTTGCGGCGGGCCGTTGCCCTGGCGACGCCGCGCTGGACCGGGGGCCGAGGCCCTCCGTGGTCCCTCCATCCCGGTCCGGTCCCCGCATCCCGGTGCGGCCTCTCCGGCCGCGTCCGGGCCCTCCGTCCGGGTCCGTCCGGCCATGGAGAAGTACCAGGTGCTGGGGCTGGTGGGGGAAGGCAGCTACGGGGTGGTGACCAAGTGCAGGAACCGGGAGAGCGGGCAGATCGTGGCCGTCAAGAAGTTCCTGGAGAGCGAGGACGACGCGGCGGTGAGGAAGATCGCCGTGAGGGAGATCAAGCTGCTCAAGGTGGGGCGCCCAGGGCCCTTTTTTTTAATGGCCTTGCGTTTAAATTTTAAGGGTTTTCTGCTTTGAACGCATGGCTCCGCGTTCAGCTCCTCGTTCAGGCTCGTTCGGCTTGTGTCGCAGCGCAGCCCCTCGTCAGTTTCTGGTCATCCTTTACGGAACATTACTAAAGAAATTCTAGCCAAAAGAGGCTCGATTTGGCCCTGTTTGTTAGATTAATTGAACCTTTCGCGTTGTAGCCTTGCAGAGCTGCTTTCCCCTTTGCCTGGGTGCTGTGCTGGATTCACCCGGCGAATCCTGGATTAGAAAAGTCTTGTTTATGTGCCCGGTGTTCAGCGGGGAAAAGCACGAGGTCTCTGTTGCCTCCTGGTGGTAACCGCGACCCACTGTTTTGTCCCGAATTCTTGTTCTTGCTGCTGTGAATTTGCCGACAACGAAACAGAGCTGAGCTTTTGACACCTGCAGGTGAATGGTGACCTGGGTGTGTGACACTAACCAGACTGGGGGATGCCGGTGTCACCTGAGACGGAAAAATGCTTCCAGGAAAGCTTTCCTTTGTTTTCTTTTATTCATGGCACTTTTCCTGCCAGGTGAAAGGGTGGAGGAGGACAGAGGTGTCAGATTCCCCGAACCTGATCAATCCGTGTGTAGTTCTTTGCTGCTGGAGTGTGGGGTTTGCATGGTATCGGTATTGTAGTGACAGGAGGGGGGGGATGGATTAAAACTGGAAGAGAGTAGGTTTAGATTGGATATTAGGAAGAAATTCTTCCCTGTGAGGGTGGGGAGGCCCTGGCACAGGTTGCCCAGAGAAACTGTGGCTGCCCCAGCCCTGGAAGTGTTTAAGGCCAGGCAGGATGGAGCTCGGAGCAACCTGGTCTAGTGGCAGGTGGGAATTTTAAACACTGGGACATACATGAGTCTGGGGAAGAAATAAAGGAAGGCCTTACTACACTGGAGTGCATCCAGGCTTTTCCTCTGATGTGGGGAGTTGCAGAAGTGGGAATACTGGCAAAGTATTCCCTGTGTCCTGTCCACTTCCCTGCCACAAGTGTCTCTTCCTAAATCTGCCAGATTATATAGTCCATGCGCTCTGAAGGGAAAAAAAAAAAGTGGTGTTTGTCATTACTGCAAGAACTACGGAATCTTAGAGTTAACAGAGAGTGCTGGAGCTTGAGACACAGCTCCAGGCATTATCCCCTCAAACGCTTTCAAAGTGGGTCTGTGTGAGCCTAGATTGTTCCTGATCCATTGGTCGGGCTCGCCAAGTCACTGAGTCAGAACACGTAGCACCTTCCAGGTGTGTTGGGAATTAACTGCTTTTCCTGGGTAAATGGAATCTTAGCAAGTGGACCATTTCCATACGTAGCTCAGTAAGGGTGGCCTCTCACAATACCTCAAATACCTGGAGATTCAGCCTGTTTGTAGTTTCTTCCTTTGCTTCTTGTGAACCTAATTTTATTTATTCATCTTTCTTTTATTGTTTTCCTATTCTGGACTTTGGGCAGAAAATTTAACCGTGGCTGAAAACAGCAAGACCTCTTCAGGTCTCCTGTACTGGGAATAAACAATTCTTGAGAAGAGTTAATCCTTTCAAAATTCTTCTCTTTTCAGACCTTCTAAGTAGTCTGGGCAGACCCAGGTGCAGGTGGGCTGGCACTGCCTCTGGACTGGCAGAGCTTCCCCTACAATTCCCCATGCTCTGCAGTCCTTTTTCATCTCCCTCAGTCACATCCCTGGGCTCTGGTGCTGCCTCCAGGCAGCCTCTGGTGATATTTCCCTGCCAGGCTCCAGCTAATAAATAACTGTGCACTGGAGCATGGCACGTTGTGTTTCTGTGGGATGAATGTGTAACAAATTGGGGGTGGATTCTTGGGGGTTTAACAAATTGGGGGTGGGTCTGGTCAGAACGTGATGACAAAATAACTGGAAAATATACAATTCCATTTCCCCCCCCCCACTTTTTATCCAAGTTGCGTTTTTTGGCAGCGTCCCAGCTGGGCTGGAATTAAAAGTATCCACTCACAGTTTTCCCTGTTATAAACCATCCAGCTCTCACTAAGTATTCCCTGTTTTATTACTCAGCAACTCAGGCATGAGAATCTGGTGAACCTGCTGGAGGTGTGTAAGAGGAAGAAACGGTGGTATCTGGTGTTTGAATTTATGGATCACACGGTGCTCGATGACCTGGAGGCATCTCCCAACGGCCTGGACTACGACACGGTTCGGAAATACTTATTCCAGATTATGAGAGGAATTGCCTTTTGTCACAGTCATAATGTAAGTACGTGCAAGAAATCAGCTCTGCAGTAAAAATAAATAGATACAGAAGCATATATTCATATATGTATATATATAAAGTTAGAGAAATCGAGCTTTGGCTGAAAAGGGAGGGAGATACATAAAATAAATGTATCTGAAATTAGGGGTTCTGTAATTTTCTACTCGAGCGGGAGAAACCTACAGTTCACGCTGAGCCGGTCAGTTTGCTATGTACAAATGAGGAATTTGTCCTGACTTGCTTTCCCCTGTGCAGATAATCCATCGGGATATTAAGCCAGAGAACATTCTGGTCTCCCAGTCGGGGGTTGTGAAACTTTGCGACTTCGGCTTTGCCCGTCCCTTGGCGGCTTCTGGGGAGGTTTACACGGACTACGTGGCCACCCGGTGGTACCGAGCTCCAGAGCTGCTAGTGGGAGATAGCAAGTATGGCAAGTAAGTCCGGCCTGTGAGCCTGGGAAGGGTTGTGGGAAACAGGGAGAGGGTGCTTCGTCTTCTCCACTGGCTCAGCCTTTGGA